GCAGCTGAATGATTGAATGCAGCGACTCTCAATAACTTTCTCAAAGTTCATTCAAATAATTAATCATTTGCTCAAATCTCAAGTAAGCCCAGGGGGCTGTCTCAGTTAAAGACAACCAGAAATCCGTTAAAATTAGAATAAGGATTGCACATTTTCTTGGTGTGTGTGTGTGTGTGTGTGTGTGTGTGTGTGTGTGTGTATATGTGTCCCAGGGAATGTACATCCGTCCAATTCTCAAAGACCTCACAAACTCAAACATGTGCTTCCATCTTTGCTGCCAAATCAACAGGATGTTGTGCAGTTTGGTCACATTCAAAAGAGGTATTATGCATTTAGAAAGTAAAACACCGTCCGTATTTATGGGAATTACTGCCGAGGCTAAACACATCTGATTTTCAAAGACCAGCTCTGTTTGAGACATCACCTGAGAGCTGCTGGTTTTTTAGTGTCCCAGACAAAAAGCTGCTCTGTCTTCTAAAGCAGAAGCTAAACATGTTAAAGGAGGAGTAATTCATCTTCCCTTCAGATAATGGCAATTAAATATTTTTATATTTACTAAATGGTACAAAAGGGAGAAAAAACACGTTTGCTCTTATATACTACATATTGCTAAACATTTGTCTTTCAAAATAATTAAGTCTGAAAATAATACCTGCCTTCATCCTGTAATGCACAGAGAACTACCAACCCTTAAAAAAAAGACCACTAAGGAGCCATTATGTCATCCATTAAGTATAAAATAAGGGATCATTGATTTCAGATATTTTCTGTCACACAGACATATGTTTTATTTTTAAGCCATCTTTTTGGACTCCATCCATTTAGAACAGGACCCTAAATCAAGTAAACATCCTCTCTGTCACTTTTACAGCTGTTGTGTTTGAGGAGGAAGGTCATATTTAGATAGTTTGGTGAGAACATCTGCAACCTGATGCAAAAAGGATGGAAATGAGTCTCACCCGATGACTTTCACTGTTGTTTGCATCAGAGCTCTGTGAATGTGACAAAAGAAGGAAGAGATAGCAGAGGTAAATCATGTGCAAACATGGAGCTAAAAACAGGTGCTGTAAGTGATTTTTGTGTGTTTCAGCCGCTTCATCTGCATTTACTGCAGCAAATCTGTGAGATGTACAGC